TTGGGAAAAGACACATGAATAATGTGGGTACCACTTCCTAATAAGTCACTCTTTATAAAGGGTTTATACATTGTAAATAATCGAGGTATCCTCATACAACAGTTCCTATGATATCTCACAATGCAACTGTTTGTATGATATCTAACGAATTAATGCCCCATGAATGACGTCATGTACTTAGCGTAAAGTTAAGTTGATAATGTAGGTTTATGTAGGTTAGGTTTAGGCAAGTAAAGGTACATAGGTTGGGTTCAGTAAAAGAAAAATGGTTATGACCTACCTTAGGATAACTCAAAGTTCACTTGGTTTCACACAGTCCTAAACACCAGTCTCCTGGGGGAGAGTCCTGTGTTTGTTTGACCCATACTTCATCCTAACTTGTTGTGACACTCTTTATACTACTTCCCTCTTTACTCACATCAGCGCACTGGTTCCATGATCCAACCCAGTCTTGTTCCAAAGTTGGTGGATACTGGCGCTTTGGGAGTTACTTCCGCAAGAGACACCTATGAAAAGGTTTTCCTTTTACATCAGTGTGATAAACGATTGGTCTCTATTATTGTGTAAGGGCGACTGACAGCATCAGGGGGAAATGCAGCTGGACAACAACATAAGCTAGGGGGCGAAAAGTCTGAGTTGGGTGGGCCGGCAGGAGGGCCGGTGGATGGGTCTGTTATTTTGTAAAGCCAAGCCTTCTAATCTATTTCTAAACCTAACTACGTGCTTTTGTTGTCTAAACCCAACCATGTGTACGTGTTGGCTAAATGTAACCATGTGAATTATAAGTTGTAACCAAGTCATTTTGGGGTGTTGTACTGACCTAGTACATCTATTTTGAAAGAGACTCTATGCAAACTGTACATTCTCTGTGAAAACTGAAGTGTATTTTGACAGGACACAATGCATGCAACAGGCTGAAGTTAACACGGCATCCCAGAACGTCAATAACAAATGCACCCAGGGTACCTAGGACACCATATGTCAATGTGGACGTCCATGATCAAGCAATTGTATATGATGAAGTCAGAGTGAGAATGTGTTGCATGATCGCAGCCTTCACGATTACGTGGGTTATACACAAATAACTGACTCATGATTATGTGGGATATATATGAATTGTGGTACATTACTGTTTGTAAGTAAACATACAAACAGTGCATGAGTACACCCTGAACTATAAAATAGCTTCATTTAAGGAGTAGTGTGTACGATTTAGGGACTTCCAGGGGTGAGGTTGCAGATTGCAACTGTATACCCTTTCCCCTGCCTCCCCTTATCTCCATGTAAAACATGAAAGACCCTCTGTAGAGTCAGTGTTTGTTTGCAACATGGTGGACTCCATGGAAGAGGACCTCTTCCCTATGTAGATATAAAGGGTTCGCTCTAAGTTAACGAAAACACAACAATTCTTAGTTTCAGATGATTATACACTAATTTAAACCATTATGAATATTAGATCCTGTATTTGTCACTAGATACCCCTAAATCCTACACACTTAACCTTTAAAGGTTAATGAGACATTTACTTATGCTTCGTAGATTACTTATCAGTCATTATTAAGAGTGACTTTAAAGTTAACAGATTGTGAGAAACCCCTTTTTCTTGTTTTGTTTTTCCTACTCACTTATCAACATTTTATAAAGTAATCAATTCTGCAGTTGTAGATGTAAAGACAATAAAAGTGTTGGGGTGGAGGAGGATTTTGAATTTAAAAATCTTACTAATGGCATCTGACCTATAAAGCAGTAGCAGTCCAGTCAATCTTTGGTTTGACCCAAGGAAAACTGCAATAGTAATCATTCAAAGTTTTTTGATCTCTTGGGACATCCAAATAATATATTAAAAGTATTAAAAGTATTAAAAGTATACCATTATATACTAAGTGGATCAAAGTAATGTCAGGGCTCAAAATTTGTGTCATTATTGTCATAGCATCACACAAAGAAGTGCATATCTCTGCTTCTGAACATGATATTTTAATATAATTTATGTCTAAACATTTGTTTTTAAGATGTTCTTTCTAAATGTATATGTGCAATTATGTGCTTTTTTGAATCCAAACAAAGTCAGTGAAATGAGGTAATAAAGCAAATTTTCATTACATTTTCTGCATATACAAATTTGTTTGTGAGCACTCAGACTGAAACCTTAAAGGAGACCAAACTTGAAACACGTCTTGGCTTTTCCATTCTTTGCTTTAACTGTTGGTGCCATTGATGGTTGATATCTGTGACAAAGCTGCCACTTGGGAATGGCTATTATGTTGAAATATCATGTAGAGATAAATAGTTTTTCATATACCAAACTAGAATTTGCGCCCTTGGGTGGCACCAATTAGTGAGAATTCTGACATGGACCCATAAAATCACGATCACCACCGATTTCCCATAATGTTTTCGATCGAAGCAAATAGAAGTTTCCAGTATTGCACTGAAAGTGTTTCCTGTCCCATCCCATCTAAGATATACAGGATGTATTTTTCTAGTATATCATCATGAGGCACAGCATTTCATGTTGCTTTTGCAATTTATTAAACTTTAAATAAATTGTTTAAAGTGAATGAAAAAAATAAGATGATGACATAGGAGTAAAGATACTGAGAGACTAGCTGAATAGAATATAGCAGAAAAGTTGGTAATAGAACCAGTCAGCTCTCACACACACTCTGTGTCTCCACATAAACCCAACCCTTCACCTCCTGTGCATTACAAACTTACAACAATAACTTACAATGATGAAGTTGTAGATACAAAATATATACAAAATAATTTATACCTAGTTTAGATGCTGATACACCCATAGCAACAGTGTGGCACAAACTGTAAGTGGAAAGTTTGACAAAAAAAATTGGTTGTTGGGTAGCAGTACCCCAAATACAGGTATAATACATCAGAATATCCTCTTAAAGGGGTTTTATTGAAAGGATTGACCCCAAAAAACTTGGGAAAAGACACAAGAATGGGCGGCAGTAGCTCAGTCCATAGGGACTTGGGTTGGGAACCGGAAGGTCGCCTGTCGAGTCCCCGTCCGGAGAAAATATGGAGTGTGGACTGGTGGCTGGAGAGGTGCCAGTTCACCTCCTGGGCACTGCCGAGGTGCCCTTGAGCAAGGCACCGAACCCCCCAACCGCTCGTGGCGCCTGACCAAGGCAGCCCCCTCACTCTGACATCTCTCCACTTTGTGCATGTATAGGTCCTGTTTGTGCATGTGTGTGTCTTTCGGACCTGTGTGTAATTTACAGCAAGAGTGAAAAAATTGAATTTCCCCTCAGGGGGATTAATAAAGTATATAAAATCCAAAAAAAAAAAAAAATCAATAAAAAATTTAAATATGTTGGATACATGGACCACCCAATGTTAACATCATCACCCAGACCATCTTACTGTAAATTGTTGAAACTTTGCTTGTGACCTTGAAAAAAAGAATGTTGAAGGTATACTTTTAATATATGATGAACCAACAAAATCTATGAAACATTTCTACTGCCATTTCCTCTAGGTTGGGCCCATTTTTTAGTTAGATTGGCTGGACTATAGTAAAATAATTATAACTTATGCAGGCTAAATAAGAGCAATATGTCTGTGTTATTTGTTGTTGCATCTATTTTCTTATTTTCCTTCTGTAAAGGAATGCTTTGTACACATGACATAACATTTAAAGTGGGGGGTGGTAAAGTCTTCAAAACATGTAAATACAATTACAAACGGGTCACTGAACATCACAACAAACAGAAATCACGACCGACAACTACAGAAAAGAAAACGAGGTGAAGAAAATGACGGAAAACTGAGAAGAACCAAACCAATTTCTATGTATTTCTATGTTTATGTATATAGCTGGGCCTATATGTTTATTTCAATCTTTAATATTTGCATATTCAGAATGTCACTGTCACGCTCCCCTACAGGACACCGCCTATCTAACCTCTGATTGGCCACTTTGCCGGTCGTCTCACTGCTCATTGGCTCAAACCGCTGTCACTCAACATCTCACCACTGGTTGGTAGCGAGGCACAAAAAGAAATCACATTTTCTGTTGAGCGGCTCAGCGGGGAGCTGCCTGTCATTGACCGGCGGAGCTGCTCGCTTGTGGGGGTCTTTTTCGTTTTTCCTGGTTGCCGCTCGGTGCTTATGGATAGTTCTAGCTCAAAGACGAGGCAGTGAGCCAGTATTTGTGACAGAATGGTATTAAGAAAAAGACTAAAATGGTGCCTTTGTAGTAGGAGTATTGATGCTGCCGGTGCCTTGTAGCTGGAGTGAAAGTTAGCTAACGTTAATGAGTAGCATAACGTTAGCCGACTAGCTAATGCTAGGCCTTCCGTTTCCTTTGGTTTGTCAGGACACTTTATTGTTTTATTCCTCCCTTAGTAAAGCAGAGCTCTGTAGCTCTTTTGTTTGCTGGCGTTTGCTGATTTTTCCCCTTTGCTTCCTGTGGTGAACAAGGCACTGAAATGAAGAGAGTGAACAGCTTTCAGAGGTTTGTGAAATCCTAAAATATCACTGACTGTAAAAATGATATATTGGGCTGTCGGGCCAGGATTGCTGTTTTTACTTGATCATGTTAATGTCAGTGGTGGTTTGTTGATGTTACCTCATTCTTCATGTCCGTTAGCATAAACCTATTTTCCTCTCAGGTGGAGGAACAGGATCATTTAAGTTGCTGTGTAGCTGTATCATCTGAACAAAAGAAGTTAAAATCAATGCAGACAATCATAGATAAAACAGAATAAAATAGGTTGTAATTAACGACTCACTTACAGGAAATGGCATAAATTCGGTTAGTTATAATAATCATAAAGTCAGTTTTAAAGGAAAAGTGCAGCTTGTTCTCTGATATCTGTGAAGCTGGAACAAGAGGATTTGTTGCCTTTCTCTGTTTAGATCACTGTAAACTGAGTTTATTTAGGTTTTGGACCAAACAAACCCTTCAGATGTCATCTTTGGCTTCAGGAAATTGTTGAAATTGAATTGTAGTGATTATATCATCAAATGACAATTAAATGATCATGGCAATTGTTATTTTCAGCTCTAAATGCAATGTTAACCAATGTAAGCACAATAACCTGTACTATGTGAAATGGTAATGCATTTAATATAGTCTGTCAACACAAGAATAGTTATCTTAAGCATAGTTATGAATATGCTATTAGCATAACATTATAAATGTATTATTTTGGTCAAGTCATTACATCTCAGGCCAGTTAAAACCAGCAAAGGGTACATGTCATTAAAAGGCACTACCACTGTATAGAATTAATTTCTCGGTAAAGATTATAGTTGTTATTTATGTTCTCTGTTATTTCACTTCTTATCTGCCTCCTCGAGTGCTCTCATGTTGTTTGATTTTGTGATTAATATGACCTGGCTGCTCTATTAAACCTTATCATACATCTCTTATATATTTACCCTGATGGTTTATTTCCTTCATTGTGCAAAGCACCGTGATACAGTTAAGGTGCTTTAATCAACAATTCAGTCTGTCAGTTCTTTTATGATATGGACAGAATCAGAATGACAGTTTTCTTGGTAAGATGTGATACAGTGCTCAGTCAGCCCTCTCTTATTTATTTTATATTTGTTTTGTGCATTTGTGTGTGTTTCAGGTTCATGAACAGACGGGCCTCTGCTAACTGCCGCTACCAGCCCACCTGCTATGAGCATGCTGCAAACTGCTACACCCATGCTGTGAGTGGCTGGAATTAATTATTTTTTAATGTAGATGACTTGATCTCAAATTCAGAGTTGCTCCGCCTCATTATTTCTCTATAAATATTACAGTAGCTTAGAATAACTAGAAACTGATCTGTATGTTGTCTTAATGGTTTCATTCCATCTCTCTAGCTCCTCATTGTGCCGGCCTTCGTGGGCATGGCATTGCTGCATCGTTTGTCCGATAACGGCTGGGAGAGGATCACTGCCTGGGTGTACGGCATGGGACTGTGTGCCCTCTTCCTGGTCTCCACTGTGTTTCATATCATCACCTGGAAGAAGAGCCACATGAGGTGAGGAGGAGCGCCATGATGAATCACCATGTTGGCAGAGAACCAAGGCTGACTTGAAAAAAACATGTACATAATGCATGAGGACACAGACAAAAGAGTGACACGATCAATCCGTAATATTTAGAGTAAATGCAATGATACAGCGCAGCTGGTCTGTAATTTGGAGTTTTCAGAGTAGTATGTTAGCGTCCCCTCTAGTGATGGGAATTGATTCTTTTGGCTCGGCTCACTAAAAAGAGCCGGCTCTTTCGGTTCCCAAGAGGCTCCTCAGATTTTTGTTGCTTAAATTTATTTATTACCAACAATAATGTAAAATTATGTGTAAAATGAATTACTAATGTAAAAAAAAAAAACATTATATCAAATGTTTATTATTTATATGGCTTTATATACTCTACAGAGTGCTACAAAAAATAAATTATAAAGTACAAAAAAACAATTAACTATTTTAAACTTTTAGCTTTTTACTATTAAACACTATACTATCCTAAACTTGTAACTATTTACAGTGAAACAACATAGAGAAGCTTACAGAATCACACAACAGAATATAACTAAAGCTGCAGCAGCAGTTGCAGTAGACACACTGGCACCTTCATTAATAGCAGGTTTGCTTGCTTGTCTTTTTTCTTCCAATTGCACTGATGGATGAACAGTTCTCATGTGCCTGTGCAGGTTGTTTGGATATGAGATTTTAATCTTGCAGACACTCTGCCCTTGTATTGTCAATGTAACTGAAATGATTCCAAATTTTACTGCTTTTCCTGTTGTATTAATTTTCTCAACTTTTTTACCTTTCCAGCATGTTGTCTCTCTGTAGCGCCTGCTCTCTTTCTCTCTCTCTGTCTCCCTCCCTCCTGTTCATGTGCTCACTGTGCTGTGTGTGTCTGTAACCTCTGCGCCTCCGCCTTCTGCTCACCACGGACACACAAACAACACCACACATATTGACCAATCATGTGCAGCTTGAACAGAAAAAACAAACAAAAAAACCCCCAAAGCAGCTCCCAATCAGAGGGGTATTCCAGAAAGCGGTTTTAGTGAGTGTGTTGTTGACCCTGAAATGAGGGAAACTCTGGGTTTTCAGTTCCAGAAAGAGAGGTAAGTCAAACTCTGAGTCAATCACCATGGCAACTGACTCTGTGAACCCAACCTGGTTTTCTATAAGAAACCCTGAGTTCACCCTGTCTCCTCCCTACTGCCGAGCCTGAAGCAAGCTGGCAGACAGACATGGGTTGTCTATATGTAGGAAATCCCATCGATATCGAGGCAGAATTAATTCACAATGCTTTATGCTGGGAGAGGATCTTCAGACCCCGTTTAGATGTGCTGTCTTTCCCCAATGAATATCTGGGTTTGCCTTAAATTGACAGGACAGTTAAGCGTGAAAGGGGAGAGAGACAGAGGGAGCAACATGCAGCAAGGTACCACAGGCCGGAGTCGAACCCGGGCCGCTGCAGCAAAACCCATATGGGATGCCTGTTCTATCCACTAAGCCACCAACATCCCTTTGAAGGAGATACTGCTTGCTAAATTCCACATGCCGCTTCTCCTTGGCAGCTTTAGCGGTGTTACGTTTTTTACGAAATATATGCTCATATTCACTGTAGGCATTCATGAGCACCTCCAATTCCACAGGTGTGAAATAAGTTGATCGCTTTTTCTCTCCGGTTTCCATGGTGACGAGAGGTATCGGGGCTCCACTGATGATGGTTTTTGTATTGTGGTTGTGCACGCGCTTAACTCAAGGTGTACCTACTCAGAGTTGATTGAACTAATTCAAATCAGCTGTTCTGGAACCGGATACTCAGAGTTTCCCAGCTCAGGGTATGTCAACTCAGAGTTCAGGATTAGACTCAGAGTTTGTTGAACCTTTTACCTGGAATACCCCGCAGGAGCTGGTTCCCGTCGTTCACTTCAAAGAGCCGGCTCTATGAGTCGTTTCGTTCACGACCAACACATCACTAGTCCCCTCTGGGAATATAGACACTGCAATGAAAACTTTCTGTTGACATGGATATTTTCATCTCTTTAAATTTTTTAGCTTCCCTCCGTGGCTCTTTTGGTTTCAAGTTTCTTGTGAATGATGAAGTGTTAACTTCATAGTTTGTTGCCATATTTTTGGTATTCTGTGGAGCAGAAACCTTGCAAGTTTGTATTTGTTAAAGAAACAAAAATTTTCTGCTGTTTCCTACCATGGTTGTTGTTTTTGTTTCCACTTTGGTTTAATAGATTTAAAAGCTTGTCAGAAGTATGGAGCTACATTTGTTTCTTTATTATTCAATCAAACAGTAGGTTTGCAATCAAAAAAAAGATTTGAGAGCAAAAGTATCAATATTGCAATCAAAAAAATGTTTTATTGCAAGTAAAAAATGATTGATTAAAAAATGCAAATCCAAAAGTTTTGTTTGCGAGTCTTTTTTTTTCGTTTGCAAGTCAAAAAGTTTTGCGAGTAAAAAGTTGAATCTGGTGGGTGGGGCCTAAACTGAAAGCTGTAAGACACGTCTCTATTGGCCAGTCTCAATCGGAATGACAGCTTGCAAAGCATTTTCTTTTCTTCTTCTCTTGGTTGGCGGATTGCAAACAATTTAAAGGTGCATACTGCCACCTACTGTACAAGAGTGTGCAACATCATGTCTGTTTCTTAAATTCTACTCATCAGCCTAGTACGCTTGCAAAGCAATATGGGAGTTCTGTAGTTCACTGGGAATTCAGTGCGGGAGTTGTGGCAAAAATCAATTCTGAAACTGAAGTTTTTCGGGCTCCGATTTCCAAAAAAAAATCATCAATACGAGTGGTGTGATTAAAAAAATATGATACATATGCCAAAGCAGTAGGTGGCGATGTAACTTCTAACGGAAAGGCCATTTTAACCAATCAGAAATCAGAGTCAATACCGGAATAGGGAAGTGCAGAAAATAAAAACAACCTGATCCACAAAAATAGCGCGACCTAATTCAAATTCAGAGGCGCCTGAACGACCTACTACACCACCACGAAAGCAGTGACGGGCCTGCCAATAGAGGTCCGACCTGGCCGGATCCAGAACCTCCGTTGGCAGGCCCGTCACTGCTTTCGTGGTAGTGTAGTTGGGGTAGCTAGCTACTGAAGACCAGCAAAATCACTGTTTGTTTTCATTTATTCTTTCAGGTGGGTAGGCTACTGTAAATGTCACCTAAGCACCTTCAGATTTTATCAGTAGTGTACCCTTAATAGATGACTTGTTTATATAGTTTGTATTGTGCTTCGTGATATTGTTTGAGGGAACTGTAACGTAAGGTAACTGCATAAGAGTGGATGCAACCGTCACTAATGCTAACGTAGTTCCTCAGGGATTTAAGCTGTTATTAATTTAATTTTGACAATTTAACCTGTGACAACACATTAGCTAAGGTTGTAAGGACTGTAACTGTTGGTAGCTGTTGTTGATTTTGTTTAAATATGTTGAATTATAATTTTATGGGTTATTGTTTGTCGGACGATTGAGCTAAGCTAACTGACGCTAACGTCAGCTGTCAGTTGTTGCCATAGCAATGGTAAACATTGACATAGGGGCTAAGTGCATAGTGCAGAATCAAGCTGCACTGTAAATATAGTTAAGATACATTGGGTCTCATTCATGAAAAGTGAGTAAATCTGTGTGTAGATTTGCACATAAAAGCCTATGCTACTAAAAACCTACTCTGGATTCAGGAACGCCGCGGGAAACTCAGATTTGATCGTAAACACGTGTGTATGATCATGAATGCCAATCCATCGTAAAGTGACAGCGCGCTCCCGGTAATCAGCAATTAGCATAAATCCCCGCCCATGAATAGCCATTGACCACCATATAAGGAGGTGTAGGTGCATCCAGTCGACCTGTCAGTCATGGCATAAAGAAAGAAAGAGAGAGAAAGAAAAAAGACTTTTTCCGAAGCGGAGATTGAAATAATTTTGGGTGAAGTGGACTTAAGAAAAAACATTTTATTTTCTTCAGTTAGTAGTGGTGTGACAGGCAAAGCGAAGGCCTGGAGGAAGGTAACAGATGCTGTTAATGTTGTCTCCGTCGTACAAAGAACCAGAGGTGAAGCGTAAATGGTTTGATATGAAACTGGAGGCAAAGAAACGCATAAGCACACACACAAAAAAATACAGCAGCCACAGGAGGAGGAGGCTCACAGTCACAACTATCTGCTGCAGACNAACGCCGCGGGAAACTCAGATTTGATCGTAAACACGTGTGTATGATCATGAATGCCAATCCATCGTAAAGTGACAGCGCGCTCCCGGTAATCAGCAATTAGCATAAATCCCCGCCCATGAATAGCCATTGACCACCATATAAGGAGGTGTAGGTGCATCCAGTCGACCTGTCAGTCATGGCATAAAGAAAGAAAGAGAGAGAAAGAAAAAAGACTTTTTCCGAAGCGGAGATTGAAATAATTTTGGGTGAAGTGGACTTAAGAAAAAACATTTTATTTTCTTCAGTTAGTAGTGGTGTGACAGGCAAAGCGAAGGCCTGGAGGAAGGTAACAGATGCTGTTAATGTTGTCTCCGTCGTACAAAGAACCAGAGGTGAAGCGTAAATGGTTTGATATGAAACTGGAGGCAAAGAAACGCATAAGCACACACACAAAAAAATACAGCAGCCACAGGAGGAGGAGGCTCACAGTCACAACTATCTGCTGCAGACTAGCGCATCGCTGGCATAATTGGGACAGCGACAAGCCTAATACATTCTGAAAATCATCATTGATAGCGTAGTGGTCACCAAACAAACAGAAGATTCATTTGTGGGGTTTTGAATGAAGTGGGAACGGGAAACCAGAGATTATTTTGTGCATATGGATAAACTCTAAATCAGTGATGGCTGTCGGAATGTAGAGCTATTTAACATTTATTTTAACAAATGATACGGATAACATATAGCCTACAGCAGTTT